GGGCCGATGGAGGGAAGGGACACGCGGGTAGGTGGTCGGGGGCGGGACGGCGACAGGGCCGATGGAGGGAAGGGTCACGCGGGTAGGTGGTCGGGGGCGGGAAAATGCATGGCACTGCGAGCAGGAGGAGTTTTCGTGGGACGTAGTCCGTATAGCAGGCGGCCCTGGGAATTACGTCTAGACTGGGAGAGAAGGGAAGACCAGAGAAAGGAACCACTGCGGGGGTCGTCTGGAACCATGCTGACAGAGATGCAGGCGAGAGGGCGCTTGGAAAGGACCTTTCAGGGGCGCGTGTGCGCGCGCCCTCCCTCCACCTGTTTTGAGGTGTCCGTGTCCCCTTAATACCAGGTGTTTTCCAGCTCTCTCCTGCATGATTTAACCATGGCAGGTAACAAACCGAGCCCGATTTCCCAGCGAGAGAAATTCCTCAGTGGCGCCAGGCCTGACAGTGTTAAATAGGTTACCGGCTTGCTGGTCACACGCTGCTTAACTGTTTCTGTCCTTTCTAGAAGAAAGTTTTTGGGATTTTTTGGTCTGTTTGAAACAAGGTTTCCTTATGTATTTCTGGCTGGCCTTGACCTTACTTTGTAGGGGACTTGCCGGTTAAAATAACATATAATAGAAACCGGGCCTGGTGACACATACCTGTAATCCCAGCTTTAGGGAGGCTGAGACAGGAGGTTCACTATGAGTCCAAGCTGTGTAGTGAGACCCTGTACCAAGTAAATAAATAAAATTTTTTTACTCCAAATGCCTTCAGGGCAGGTTTGGCTGGCTTGAGTTGTGGGGATCGAACCACAGCAACCTGAGCCTGACTGCTTTGTTGAAGCAGCCACTTAAAGAACTGAGCTAAGGGGCAGGCCCCCAATATTTTTTTTAAAAAAACAACATAATACACATGGCAAATTTAATGAAAGCTATAAGGTTTTTTTGGTTTTTTGAGGTCTTTCTTGCTGTAAGTTATTTTGAATTAGCCTTTTTGTGCCAGACTCTTGAATTATTTATTGCATGTAATCCTCACGCCCTATTGGTATTGTTATACAGAATTGGAAACTTGGGGCCAGAGTAAGTACAAAATTAACCAATATCAAGTAGCTTCTAAATAATGGGACCATAGCCAGGTGTGATGGTGCACCCTGGAGCCTGAGACATGAGGGTCTTGGTGGGTTCAAGGCCAGTCGGCACAACACAGTGAGACCCTGTCTCAAAAAATACCCCAAAAGTAAGTAAATAAGTAATAGGGCCATGATTGAAGGCCACCTCTGTCCAGGTCAAAACCAGTAGTCTAGAGAAGGATTGACGTTACTGGCGCCTGTGGCCAAGACGTTCTGTGCTGTGGTGGCCTCTCCTGTGTAGAGTGGTCAGCAGTGTTTCCTTGCATTCTCCCCACCAAGTGCCAGTAGCATCCATCCCTCCCTCAGCTTTGACAGTCAGGAAGTATCCAGACAATCAGATGTCTTCTAGGGACAAAATTGCCCTCCCAGTTTGGAACCACTTTTCTCTGATTAGTGTCCTTTAAAAATGCTACTGAAAGAGCTAACTTTCAGACATATATTTTTAAGGAAAGCAGGACCAGTACTTTCATAGACCAAGTGAATTATGTGTCTTTTGAATATGACAGTGGGTGGCCAGGGAAGACTGCTGAACACGTGCATTGGAACTGCTTTAAAAAGTGGTCAGGTTTTTGATGGGTAGAGACTTTCTGTGCATTGGTACCTTGGGGACCAGAAGACAAATTTGGTGTCAAGCACAGGCCATCCCCACCAGAAAGGTGCTCTGTCTCAGGATGAGGAGACCCTCGAAGAAAAAGCAGAAGCTCATGGACTTCCGGTGTTGAGGCATAGGAATTATGTATGCATTTGAAATTGATTGTAAGCATTTCTCTGTCCAAATGTGGCAGTGAGGCTTATTTTTTGTTTTAGAGCCATGATGGTGAACCTTTTAGAGACCAGTTGCTCATTGGCAGCCTGAAACCCACCTGTTTACCACAAAATGGAGTGGAGTGCTTGGCTGCTGGGACTGCTAGGTTTATGTGCTGACAGAGAGGGCTCTGCGAGCCCACTGTAGCTTCCATGCCACAGGAGCAGGTTACCTTGTTCGGCACTACTGCCCCAGAACATGGAAATCAAGGTCTAGGGCTTATCCAATGGAATGTCAACATTCCAGTAGTAGGAGTCGGATACTCTTAAGTAGGTGCACCACTTCTAGGGTGTGTGCTTGGCGCTAGCCTCGTAGAACGTACAGCTGGCTTAAAAGGGGGACCAAGATACATGGAAAATTGAGAGCAGCAATAGTAGTGTCATGATCTCTAACTGTTGAATGTTTCACACTGAAATTCTAAATTGGGGGGGGTTCCCCAAGAAACAGTTTTTACTTTGGCATTTAGAGTCTTAAAGGTAATAACGTGTTGAGATTCTTTTCAGTTGTATGACGATTCACCATAATTTTCCTTAAAATACAGACAGCAATTGGCTAAGGAAGGAGCAGTGTTCTAAAAGTGAAACAGCACACTAAATTCCCGATCAGTAAAATACTTAGTGCATAGTGCCCCGACCCTGGTACTTGATGCTGAGATTGTTCTCTGGAAACAGAATTGGAATTTAGACCTACCACTGAGTTTGGTAGCTAGATGAAGTGAGAAGATATAGTAGATGTCGTTTTGTTTGGTTTTGTTTTTTTGGGGGGTGGGGGTTGTTTTTGGCGGAACCTGAGATTGAACTCAGGCACTTGCGCTTGCTAGGGAAGCACTTATTCTACTGAGCTGTCTCCCCAGCCCCGGATATCTTAATCATAATTATTCTAATATTCCTGACATCACCCCTTGATCTGTAGTTACATATAATTGGAACTTCAAACAAGTTGAAGATTTAGGGTGAGAGAACAGACAGCTAAAAACAGCAGTCTACCTGGTCCTGTGCCCTACAGGATCACCATTACTAAATGCCCAGCCACTGCGTAGAAGTTTCCATCTTGGAAATTGATGTTTCTAAAAATCTTTGTAGGGGCCAGGGAGATGGCTCAGTGGAATAAGCACTTCCCTGGCAAATGCAAGGGCCTGAGTTCAATCCCCGGTTCCGCAAAAATAAATAAATAAATACCTTTGTAGGCAAAAGTGGCTTCTGTGCATGAGCTCTGTATTGGTGCGTGCCCATATTTCGTGCCCATATTTCCAGCGTTGACCCTACTGTGAAAGTGCAGTGTTGGTGTTTATAGTTGTAAGGCCTGTAGGGCTGGAATGTCTGTGTTCCCAGAGATAAAGTGGGCTGATAAGAGATTTGCCTGGCTGAAATGTTGAAAGTTAAATGGAAACACAAAACATTGGTTGATTCTGTTTCTTTTCCATCAGAATTGTCTGCTAAAGCTAGTACAAACCAAATTGAACAAGAACCAAACCAATTTCCCCATAAGGTCAACATTGAGCCTAACCGTTGAATTGATTCAGTTCTCATCCAGTTTGGTTTGTGACCAGAATCATGAAAACAATTAAGCTTGTGAATCGAGGTACCCCTGTAGTTAAATATTACTGCATTTAGATCTAGACCTGTCTATAGCCTGGTAGATGTAGAACGTTCCCGAGGATAGAAACTTTAATAAGTGATGTTTGTGGTCATCAGCTGTTGTGCTTCTAACTGTAAAATTATACGTAACTGAACCTTTGCTTCTTTGTTTCATTTAGTCACATATAATGGCAGCCAAGGCTGTAGCAAATACGATGAGAACATCACTTGGGCCAAATGGTGAGTCTAACAATCTGGGGGGCAGGAGTGTTTAGTAGAAGTTTCAAACTAGAGCAGTCAGTAAAACCTCTTAAGAAAAAGAGAGGAGAGAGCCAGGGTGATAGCTCAGCAGCACAAGCGCCTTCCTCGCAGGAGCAAGATCCTGAGTTCTATCCCTGTGACCAAAAAGGAGAGAGAGAGAAAGGAGGAAGGTGGCATCCTGCCCTAACAGCCAAAATATTAATCTGTATACAGTTGTAGGTAAGACTTGTCAACAGTTAGTATTTTCTAAGCCATCCGTGGTATTATCTTTTGAGAGCTCTCCTACATGTTGTGATTTTTATTTTTTCCCCCTTCCATTTCTCTGGTTCCATTTAGGTAGCTTACAGTGTTTTGCTTTAGGTTAACCAAACTAAGCCTGTCTTTATGTAGATAATAAATTGCATATAGAAGTACAGAAATGGTTGGTGATGCATGGCTGTCCCCTCCCACCCCGCCCACTGTCTTAAGTATTGCTCTGCCTTGCATCTAGGCCTGGATAAGATGATGGTAGACAAGGACGGCGATGTGACTGTGACCAATGATGGGGCCACCATTTTAAGCATGATGGATGTTGACCATCAGATTGCCAAGTTGATGGTTGAGCTGTCCAAGTCCCAGGATGATGAAATTGGAGATGGGACCACAGGCGTGGTTGGTAAGGAAAGACAAAATGTCCTTTCTCATTTAAGTGTTAAAAACCAGAGACTGTGCTAGCATGCCTGCTGAGAATGTTTGTTTTGTGAACAAATGATGAGAAAACAATTGGAGAAGTCCAAAGTGAAGAAAATGCTCCAGGTAGATGGCTCAGAAAGGGAGTCGAGCTGGAACAGCACACTGTACGATGAGGTTACAGTGAACAGGATCAGCCCACTGTAACGGTGTCATGCTGGATACGGCCGTCAAGGGATCAGAAGCTATAAAGTATGGGTGTCCAGCCTTCTGACTTGTGTGGGCTGCATTAAGTAAAGAAAAACTGTCTTCATGTATACATATGAAGTATATAACGTAGCATATTCAGGTAACGAAACTTCCTTTTTTATATTGCTTATTACAACACTTTAAAGGGCAAGTCTCAACCTCAGACACACCTGCTATGTTCAAAGGATGTTTGGAATGGTAGGGGGACTTGGTTTGGGGTCCTGCGTTACATGATTTTGTCAGTGTTGAGTTACCAAGTGTGGCAGTTACATTGTGGCTATGTAGGAGAATGTCTTGGTTCTGTACCCGATGCTAAAAAACAGTGATGACGTGTCAGGATTTCACACCTAATTCTTGAAAAGAGCTGAAACTTATGTAGAGAAATGTTAAAGTAGGAGTCATTTTACCATTGCAGTGGTTGAAGGGTTTGAACTATTGTAATAGTAAGTTGAGGGCGGCTAGAGCGATCAGTACCTTTACGGTTACCTTTCCTGGAGCTAATTTGAATCCACTTGTCCAATATTTGTTGGTGCTGCTGTGTATCCAGCACTGTCCAGCAGTGAGTGTGGAGACCAGCAGATCTACAACCCTTAACAGACTCATCTGTGGCACCTTAATATGAGCAAGGGAGAGTTGGTGATGGGTAAATAATAAATTTGGAGATCCTGCTTACTCCAGTTTCATTCATGAGATGCCCTCAGCCCAGGAAATGTAATGGCTGTCTTCCCCTTGTGTGAATGTTCTCTTACATTGTTTTTTAGCTACTGAGGGTTGAGCATTTTATCTGTACGGAAAAACCTGGTTGGCTTCTGCAAGAACTGAAGCAAGGGGCTCCTCTTCAAACCTTGATAGTCTGCCTCTTAGCGTTCTCTACAGCTTCCTTTCGGGACTTCTTCCTTCAGGGCAGTGACCAGTTACGTGACTTAGACTGTACTAGGCGTTGGAGCTTTTCCTCCACTGATTGCCATCTTGTTTGCAGTCCTGGCTGGTGCCTTACTGGAAGAAGCCGAGCAGTTGCTCGACCGGGGCATTCACCCCATCAGAATCGCCGACGGCTATGAGCAGGCTGCCCGCATTGCCATTGAGCACCTGGACAAGATCAGCGCCAGTGTCTTTGTGGACATAAAGGAAACTGAACCCCTCATTCAGACGGCAAAAACCACGCTGGGCTCCAAAGTGTGCGTGTTGTGTTGCTAGAACATTGTAGTTAAGTATTACATGAGAGCGCGGTTGATTTCCGTTCCCAGGGGCACGACATGATCCCTGGCGAGAGAATGCCCATGCTCCGGTCAACCGATAGTGGCCAAGCGCGTCTGCCATAGAGCAGGGCCCAGTACCTTGGGCTGTTGTCCTAGGTTTCAAGTGCTAGGCTTTACGGTTGTTTTACATTCTGTTGAGCAGTCAGGTGTTTCACAGCTTTCAGAAAGGAATATCCTCCAAGTGTAACTGACATGCATTTCCTAACAAATGGCAAGGGAGTGCATATTGTTTTGTTTAGGGTGGGGCAGGGTTTACTGTGTAGTCTAGGCCAGCCTTGAATTTAGTGTTGGGGCCAGGCTGACCTTGAACGTGATCCTCTTCCTGCCCCAACATCCCAAGTACAGCACAGGTACTACTTTTCAAAGTATTAGTGCGGTCTTAGAAAAAAAACCTTGAAGAGTGCCTGCTGTGCTGCACAGGTCCTCACACATGTCCAGTGAATTTCAGTCCCTGAAGTAAAATGGTGGGCTGTCCCCCTCCTCATGGGTTGAGAATCCCACCTGCAGTTGAAGGCGCAGCTGATGGATGCTTTCCTGTCTAGAACATTACATGCTCTGGCCGTGGTACTGTGAGGTTCCCACCGTGCAGCACGGTCTATGGGGGTTGCAGTACTTGTGCGAAGTTCTGGGTGTCTCCTTAGGGTTAACAGCTGCCACCGACAAATGGCCGAGATCGCTGTGAACGCGGTGCTCACTGTGGCCGACATGGCGCGAAGAGATGTGGACTTCGAGCTCATCAAAGTGGAAGGCAAAGTGGGCGGGAGGCTGGAGGACACCAAGCTGATCAAGGGCGTGATCGTGGATAAGGATTTCAGTCACCCGCAGATGCCCAAGGTGAGACCTTGCCTTCGCAGCACCGCCCTGTCTGCACTCGCCCGTCGATTAACACGTGTCTCTCCATAGAAAGTGGAGAACGCCAAGATCGCCATTCTCACGTGTCCGTTCGAACCACCTAAGCCAAAGACAAAGCACAAGCTGGATGTGACCTCAGTGGAGGACTACAAAGCCCTTCAGAAGTACGAGAAGGAGAAGTTTCAAGAGATGATCCAGCAGGTGAGTGATCATGGGGAACAGAAACTCCGGAAGGGTGCCGAGTGGGAGTGGTTGGGAGATGTGCAGGGCTAACCTGGACTAGGGTCTTCCTGCCGAGCTGTGGAATACAGGCACTGGGCAGGACAGTCTTTGCTCAATTTTAAATTATAAAATAAGAAATAGCAGAAATCAAATGGCACAATAAAGGCCCAAGAAGCCTTAATTTTTTCTTCCAGTGGTCACATGCTCACAGGGTCTAAAGTCTTCACAGTGGCTCCATAGTTCACATCTCACTGCTGGGCAGCTCTGATTTGAGTTGCTTGTCCCATAGGGTGGTTTATACTTTTTCTCGGAGGGCTTTGGTTACAATAATGCACCAACAGGCAGATGGAGTCAGCAGCCCAGATGTCACGATATTACAGTTCCTTAAGGAAAACAAATGATATAAAATGTGATGTGGCTGATTTATGGTAGAGCAGTTGTAAATGCCTATTGTATACACCAGGGGTACTTATAAAACTTCCATGTTAGAATTTAGAAGAATTGGGGGTAACCTGTTAAGGTTCCATTTCAGTCCCTGTCTGTTACAAAAGCTTTCTTTCCCCCAATAAATATATTCTGCTCTTGACCTCAAAAAAATTAGAAAGATTAGAAGAACTATTGATAAACTGTTCAACAGTGAAGGAATGCCAAAGACATTTCTTTTAATGAAATAAATTTGGTTATTGTAATAGCTTTTAATTGGTATGAATAACAGTGTATTTGGGCAGTAATTATTCAGATCCAAGCAACTAGATTTAGTCCATTTATGGGGTTTTTTTATACTAATAAAAAGACCAATACAAGTGATTAGATCCATTTGTACTACCAGGCTGCCCACTGGGACAATGCTGCATGTTCAGGCCATGGGAACAAGGAAAAGGAACAGCACCATCACCCGCAGCTGTGCTGTGGAGTGTACATGTTTGCTGTCCTGGGACAGCTGGATAGAACTTGCAGGCAGTAGTGGTCACGTGCAAGGCCAGCCTGAAATGCACAATGAGATCCTGTCTTAAAAAAAGAGTTGTCGCATAACGGGAATTACTCCCTGAGCATTCATGCACACCTGGCTTCCCTGGCTGGGAGTTGTTCAGGCGCATGCGCTCTCACACAGTCCATATTTTGGGAGTCTGCCCTTAGGAACGTGAAGCACTGATGCCCTAGGCTGCATGAACAGAGATACTGGTTAGACATTTCATATACCAACTGGCTAGAAACTATTTAAAGTTCTGAGGGAAGTTGAATTCATTTATTCTTAGATGCCGCCTTTCACCTGTGTGCCACATTCCAAGCTCTGGTGGGCATGGCCAGGGCATAGAATTTGTGGCTCGTGCACAGAGCTCGTACAGACACTAGTCAGAGAAATAAGAGAGAGTAGAGGACTCCAAGAGGTGGTGGGCAAGCAGTGACAGGTGTGAGGACCAGCTAGCCTCAGGGCCCTGAGCACTGCATTGCTGAGCTCTGCAGGTGGCCTTGAATACACTGGAGTCAGGCTCAGAGAGGACAGTGGGGTGGTGATAGACTAGAAGGGGTGACCAGAGGGTGCTGTGGAACCAAGAGCCACCATTTAAGGAATCCAGAGACAGTAGCCACCAGAGGCCATCCAGAGTCCCTCAGTGGGCCAAGTCTGCCCCTGGTAGGCTGAACTCCAGGGAGCCAGGTGGAGCCAGGAGTGGCCTTGCTCTAAGGTCTCACAGGACTGTAGCACAGTGTGTCATCATGTCCTGGGTGTGTGTCCCTCTCTCCTACTGGTATGTATGGCCAGACAGGGCTCTTGACCTTTCCTGTGGGGGAGAGATGATTTTGTTGATAATTATTTTTGCTTCACTAACACAGGTTCATTGATGGGTTACTGTTTATGCCTTTCAAAGCATAGTTTCAAGAACAAGGTAGGAGCCCAGGGAGATAGCTCAGTAGAAGGAGTGCTTGCCTGGCAAGCATAGGGTTCTGACTTCAATCCCCAGTACCATGAAAAAAATATAAATAACAAGGTGCTTCTTAGTGGTCCATGTTTGTTACCTGAAATTTGAAACTGACAGAAAAGCAGACACCCAGGTTTCCTTGCTTCCCACCGCACCCAGCTGTGTGCCTCCCATTTTTCACTGATGTGCTGGACTTTCTTTTCCCAGATTAAAAACACTGGTGCTAACCTCGCTATTTGCCAGTGGGGCTTTGACGATGAAGCAAATCATCTACTTCTTCAGAACAGCCTGCCTGCGGTTCGCTGGGTGGGAGGCCCCGAGATTGAG